CCAGGTCACTATTTAGGATCGAGACCGCGGACGATACATCGCACAACTTAGTTTGATAGTATAACTGCAAGTCATCAGCATAGAGATGATAGGAACACTGAAGGCTTGGGGTGATGAGGTTAATGAAGATAGAAAATAGAAGAGGTGAAAGAATACCGCCTTGTGGGACGCCAGCAGAAAGACCGCGCCAGCCAGAGGAAGAATCTTCCGTCCTGACTGACTGCTGACGATCCTGAAGGTAAGAGGAGAACCAGTCCAGTGCTTCTTGAGAGACCGAGAAATGGGATAGGACAGCAAGGAGGAGTTCATGACTGACGGTATTGAAGGCATTGGAAAAATCAACCAGTACCAAGGTAGTAACCTTAGCATTCTCCATCGCCACCTTAATATCACCAGTCACTTTAAGAAGAGCAGTAACCGTGCTATGGCCTGGTCGAAACCCCGACTGAAGAGGACTCAATAAATTGTTACCATAAATAAAGTGGGAGAACTGTTTGTGGACACAGGCTTCAAGCACTTTGGAGAGGAAAGGCAGAATAGAAATGGGACGAAAGTGAGTGGGAAGAGACGGATTGGAAGTTTTAGGTAATGGGCGTACATACGCTTTCCGCCACAAAGATGGAAATGTGCCAGACATGAGGCAGAAGTTAACGATATGGGAGATAGCGGGGAGGAGGTGGACTAGCAATGTCGTGATCATTCTCCGACTAATGCCATCACAACCAACCGCTTGGGATTTGATAGATAGGACAATTTTCATAATCTCTCCCTCTGCGACCGGACCAAAGAAAAAAGGACTTAAGTTAGAACGCGGTAGACCATTGATGTAAGTAAGAGTATCATGTTCAGATTGACTGTCCAACGTGAATGAGGTAGTGAAATGTTGGTTCATGGAATCGAGACTTATGGATTGAGGAAGGTCTACATGTCGCGACCTGCCGATACCAAGAGTTCCAAGGAACTTCCAGATATCGGCAGGGGAGGAAGAGGAAATATTTTCAAGAACATGGCGGCGTTTAGCATTCCGTATCATCTGATTACACCGATTTCTCGCAGTCTTATATAGTTGCCAGTTGACTTCGACACGGTCCCTCTTATACATTCTAAAACTACGATTTCGGCGTCTCATGGCCATCCGTATACCCTCGGTCATCCAGGGCGCCGGCGGCCGTTTAACTCTTACCTTTCTAACCGGTGCATGGGTATCATATAGTGTAGTCACTACCTCGTTGAATATGTATACCTTGTCATCAACAGCAGCGGCATCGATCAGGGGTGCCCAGTCAACACGTGAAGCATCATCACTCAACTTCTCCATATCCATCCGCCTAAAGCAACGCCTGTAAAGGAACTTAGGTTTGGGTTTTGGGGGTTTGAGGACGTAGGAGAGGAAAATCAGGTCATGATGAGAGAATCCGGGTGCGTCTAGTTGACCATGAGAGGAAACAAGGGAAGGGTTGGAAGTGATGATTAAGTCTAGCCAAGTGTCCTCGCCGATATTATTGTGGTGAGTGGCATGTGATGGCAGAACATGAAGGCTGACTGACTCAAGAAGGAGTTGGAGTTTACGGGAACGAGAGGAGTTTTGATCTAGGAGATTGGTATTAAAATCACCCATGATGACACATGGTACACGGTTTGTATCTCTGCACCACCCGCCAGCTTACATCACTACAAAAGAAAAAAAAAAAAAGAGAACAAAATTGTAAAATGCAGTTCACAACAGTGTGAAGAGTACCTAATGCAAAACAATGTTTATCGTGCAACGTATCCGAACAGCAGTGACCGAGATGAGTGAATGACAAAATCTATAATCTATGTTATCTATGCTACTGATTATAAACACACAAACGTCAAAACAAAACACTAGACACAGAGAAAGGGTACAAAAGTATTAACAATTATTAACAAAACAAAGGTTAAGGACTTGAGAGAAATAAGTTGAGAGAATGTGTTTACATAAAGGGATAAGAGTTTTGCTTGCAAAGAATACTCGATTTAAAGTAAATATTACTAATATGTGAATATTATTGTTCAAGTGTCACTCAATTAAATTTATTTAAATTTATTTACGAGACCTGTTATCTCCAGCAGACCGATCACCGGGCCTCGAGGAAACTGTTTGTGCCCTCGGATATTTCATCAGCAGCGGGTTCAGCTCGTCGATGGTCGTAATCTTGTGTCGGATACCGCCAGGGACTTTGACGACTATGATGCCATCCTGTGTCCAGCAAGCAGAGACACCAAAATGTAGCCTAGCCTTGGCGAAGATGGATTGCCTGTTCTTTGTCAGGAACTCCTTAATAGTGATAGGGGAGCCCTTGAGTCCTGATTTGGCCTTCCATACTGACGATCTGTCCTCCAATGTAGAAAACTTAACTAATACGGGCCTCTGACGCTCTTTGGTCGACACTCCGAGTCGGTGGCAGACCTTGATAGAGGAAGCAGGTATGCTCTTGAGGCCTAAGTTGTTGTTGATGAGCTGTAGCACGACACCCTTGCAGTCCTCCTTATCAGCCTCCTCAACACCAAGGAAGATCAGTGACTTACGCCGCTGTCTGGTTTCCATGGCATCAATCTGTTTGGAGCATTCGCTGATCTGCTTCCGAAGCAAGCCCAGCATCGAGAAAATTAACTCCCGAAAGGTACGGAACTCCTCAGCGACCTTGGCCACAGTGTCTTTAGCGGGACCGGCACTCTGGATTTGAGCCTCAAGATCGGACATTTTCCTTGTGAAGGTCTCCTCAAGGGTCTTCTGCGCTGATAATAAATCGTTTATTTGTGACATTTTTGACACTTGACACACACAAAAAAAACAAACTGTTTAGCACTGTAAAGCGATGCGCTGGCAGGTGGTGTGGATTAATTGACTAATTATCACATTAAATACGCTTCAAACGTGAGTACCAGCACATTAACTATATTTACTTGTCTAGAGATATAAACTTACGCAAAAGGTATAAGAAATATAATTTAAATAAAATCTCAAAATTTACGACACGTATGTAATTTTCTACACCTACCCTCGAAAAATCTTGAATTAAAAAGTTATTTTGGTTCGTTTTTTTTTTCTTCTTATGTTAGAGGGGGCAAACGAGCAGACGGGTCACCTGATGAAAAGTGACCACCGAGGCCCATGAACGTCTGCAACTCAGGAGTCACAAACGCGTTGCCGGCTTTTTAGGAAGGAGTAAGTTTTCGGCTTTAAACGTGATGGAGTGTTTCTGTCCAAAAAGCCCATGGCTTTGGGAGAGATTAGTGCAAGATGTGCGTAGGAATGTTATGGTGCATGATTAATTTGTCTAGAGCAATTTATGAGTCTCGGTCGTTGATAGACAAAAATGTCTCCTCTTAGACAAAGTTTTAAAAATTGTTTGTTACTATCTACTACCGTCTCTCAAGGTGCACTTGTGTTCATGGTTTCTTCTCACTTCTTAGCTTGCTTAATTTTACAGAGCCCACCTCGCTAAATACTCTGGTTAAATGTTCCACGTCAAAAATATTTGTTTAAATCTGATTGTTTTAAAGATTATTTGTATTTTTATACTGGCTTTAGGAAACATTTGTTAGGTACGTTAGAGTGACAGCTGTCAATCTGGGCGAGGCGGCCATTTTGTCCGACAGAACCCAAACAAAGCTCGCCGACGCACCCGATTGACGACGAATCGCTTATTTATAAAGCAATCATAATAGCTTTTCCAAATGTTTTATCTGCAGTTGATTGATATTGATTAAGTATAGGAGACTTAGTTATTATTTCTAGAATAAGTAACTTATTTATGACCTCCCTTTCAAATTTTGCCTATCGTTCTTGTTTATTAGGGTAGAAAGAGATTATTGTACAGTAATTGAATTCCTTGATGAATAAATCTAATATCATAAATACAGATTTTTTTGTGAAGTTTTGATGCCTACCATGGTACTTGTATTTGAAAAATGCAAAGTTCTGTATGCATCAGCATATGTTTAAAATTCGTAAATATCCAGTAAAGTTTCATCATCCTTGAATATTTTTAAGAATCTGTCCATGCTGGATAACCAACGACCTCAGACTAAAAAACTAAAAAAAGGAAATAATATGCAACCCACAATTTCTTACTTCTACTTTTGATATTCAATTTTAAAGAGTCAATAGAGATAAGGTTTTTTTTTTATATTCCTTCAGCTAGCGAGCATTACAGTAGTTGCATAGGATGTGGAATATCTTACATCTCACAACCACATACCATCTGACGACAACCACGTCAAATCAAATAGTGCACTCCTGACTTCCTGTTACACATTTACGTCCCTTTTCACAAAACTGAAATTATAAATTTTACACATCAAAAGATACATCTGTAGCAATACATATATACCGATGTCACGAAGTGTAATTCTTGCATAAGAGCAGCACACAATTCCTTATCGACCATTTGTATTGAACTTCACGTAAACCCACGCCGCGTAAACATTCTATCACACATTATCATCACATCAGCAGCCTTTAACAGTCCACTTATGGACATAAGCCTCTCCTTAGAAAGGAGGTTTTGGCCTACTATATGACGCTGGCCAGACGGGTTGATATAGGGTTTGTGTCAAGTTTTCCTTCTCTCTGCAGTGCTGTTCTTCTGCGTAATTTTTCCCTTAATCAGCTCTTACAACACCCACGGGATGAATAGGGTTGGTGACACTCTGTATTCTTAATCTGTCACCACACGGAACGCGTAAGCATTCTCTACCGGTGTTAAACTCAATACGACAATACTACAGAGTGTTTAAGCACCAAAATACTGAGAACATAGTTTGAAATGGAACTAGACCATAAGCGACCTATATACTTTATTACTACTACTCGTAAAATTATAAACATGTGATGTCTGTAAAGTTGAGCATCTCACACACAATGTAGCAAGTTATTTTGTTGTTAAGTAGAGCAGTGCTGCAAGATATAAATGATTAAATACAATCCATGATACTTTGTAGAGAGTAAAACTTTGTCTTATCCAGACAAGAAGATGTGTGATGTATGTAAGTGTATTAAAAATTGCTTTTTGAAGTATGTGGTCAGAATCTTAATGCATAATGTGAAGTCATTACATATTCATTTGCGTTTACGTTTAATGTGATTTGTAAGGAGTATTAAATATAACGCATAAACAACTATAACCGTTCTTTTAATCTTACTAAATTAATGTAATTATTTGTATAAATCCGCCAAACCAAACCAACCATATCACCTTATTCCTATCCCATCTACATTTTCTCTAGTAGCGTCTCAATTTTCCTATCTGATTCCTAGATCCATAACGACAACAGGCTTGCAACGGTCAAGTCAGGCGAAAATTTTAGTCGGCAAAATGTAGGCGTGTTAATACGTCTCTGTTTATCCCTTCGGGGATATATGTGTGATGTGAAATATGTATCTTATATTTTTTCCACCGAGCCTTTTTCCCAAATTAGGTTGAGCCGGCTTTTAACTCTTCTACGATACGGCTGAACTTCGTATTCTTACGTGGAGCGACTGCGATCAGACTTCCACGATCGACGATTAACGATCGAATAACGTGCTCGCCGAGGCTCGGGGGCGATATCAATATATTAAGAATGGTCCATATTATGTTAACCCATCTATAGACAGACCTGGTTAGGATTGCTTAACTTTACAATGTGTATCTTCGTACTCGGTTACCACTTAGCCACGAGCCCCTCTAAATATTTATCATATTTCTAGTATCTTATTTCTCTATTACATTTTAAAATTCTCATTCAGAAGCTAGTTTTTAACTAATGACGACCGAATGGCGTAGTGGTTTGTGTAACGGACTGCTATTCCAAAGGTCGCGGGTTCGATTCCCGATCAAGTCAAACATTTGTGTCCATGAACATTTAATGTTTGATTTGGTCTGGGTGTTTCTATGTATAATATGTATGTATTTACAATATATATATATATATATATGTATTTATATCAGTTGTCTAGTACCCATAGTACAAGCTCTGCTTAGTTTGGGACTAGATGGCGTTGTGTGAATGTGGTACAATATTATTATTATTATACAAGAACTTAAACGATATAAACTCGCTCCTAATAATATTATTTATTTGAAAACCTTAATATAAAGTAATTTATAGCACATGTTACTGTTTTTTTTATATTGTTCAACTCTAACTAATGTAGTTTTCTTCGTCAACAGCACGGCAATGCGACGACATCAAGCGAGACCTCTGTGGGGACGAACACAGCGACCGCCGCGGCCACAGCCGGGCCCAGCAAGGCCCCCCCACAAGCCGCCAAGTTTCGCCACGGTCTCTTGCAGCTCATGATTCATACCATCGATCCGATGCATGACGGTGAGTTAGGTACGCACCGCCGCTTCGCTTCACTTACACTAATGCTAAGAGAGTACATACGGTGGTTGGTAATAAATGCCTAAAAAAGAAAGATACCATCTTTCTTTTACTTTTCATGAATTAAATATACATAATGAAATATAATAAAATTAAATATATATATAAACGTAATATTAATTGAAGAAAATCTGTCACCAATCATCAGACATGTACGTACGTATACCATTCCAAAATCCTTACGTCAGTAACGCCACGCAACTATCACATCAGCTAAACCAACAAAACAATAACGCCACATCCTAAAGCACCTGTGACGTAGCATTCCTGACTTAAGACAGGCAAATACTGTTAAGTTGTTTTCATAGGGCCTACACTTCTGTATCCGTTGTCTCTTGTAAATAATTCACCAAGGTAGCCAAAATCATTTGCTAAATGAACATTTACAAAACAATCGCGTGCAACAAATGAATTGGTAGTATTGGTAACTTTTAACAAACACTTGCATCCCCCAGGCAAAAGTGTTACCAATAAATAAATTCTCCCTTAATTTCTCGAAATACTTCGAGCATCAAGCAATAAAATTTAAAGTGTTTGACTGGTCTTTGGTAAGAGTGAAATACAATAGTTAAAAAAATACTATCATCATTTTTTATCGCAACATTAAGGCAACATTTTCAAATCGCCAAAATTAAAAAAATATGTCACCCCAATTACTTAGTTGATAAAAGACTGACAATGCACGTCACAACATCACTTTAGCTTAGGCAGAACATTATTTGAGTAAGCTGAAGGTGCATACTGTGACGTTGCACAAATCGGCGGCGATAGTTCCAAATTTCCGTCAGTATCAACAATTTTATTGCCCACTTGCCAAAAAATTTAATAAAATGTGAAAAGTGTAAGTGAGAGATAAATGTACGAATCCCATTTTTAAATTTTATTCGATTTTTGATAAAAGTTCATAAAAGTACCGTACCGTATAACCGTGGCGTCTAGGCAGGAGATTAACACCAGGGTAGATTTTAATTGTTTAGAGTTCTACGTTCCCCAAGGGTGAACGCCACGTCTACACAAAAAATAAACAAAAAAGTCATCTTACTGCTATATGATATTCAACCGAGAAGCGTGAAGTTTTTTTTAAGGACAACACAAATAGAGCACAGCCATCCGAAGAAGGTCATTTCCATTTTGAAAAGAGCTAGTTTACTTTAAAATACCTCACAATTTTGGTAAATGTTTCACGGCGCTTCGCATACACTACCTGCACTATAAATGCTGATATAGATGTTAAGATTGGTGGATTCTGAAAGGAGTCCATTACTGAGACTATGCTGATAAAATGATTATTGTAATTTAGAATTTAACAGCTATTTCCGGCAAGTGAAAAGTTGGGATTTTATGAAAACATGTCATCCAGTGAAACAACAAGAAAATGTAGTGATTGATTTACAGGTACATAACTTTCTTTATAAGCAATAACAGGCTGTTAGGTTTTTAATATTTATCATAAAATATTTTTATCTTAATCCATTGACGTCATGGTGCCGTAACATAGGCTGCCACCATATTACGGCTAAGATTACTAAAAAGACGTTTACTAAAGATTAAGCTTTCAAAGTAAATGATGGACCTAAAGCAGTTATTTTACCCGTTTATTTATACTAAAGGGGGCAAACGAGCAAACGGGTCACCCGAAAGAATTGCAACTAAATAAGAAAGTTTAAGTATAAACTGGTTTCTCAAAACCTTGAAATGAAAATGGAACATCTTTACAAAACGTTTAAAATACGATATTATGCCGTGATGCCCGTGATGTTACTCCCTTTGGCCAAGTTCGTTTCTTGGTGCCCTGCCAAGTCACCAACCGTTCGCAGTCACGCATATACCACGGAACTAATTACAGAGGGAATATCGTTTGTCTATCTGTCTATCAAGGGTTGAGATTGCCTGACTAGCACGCGAATGATTTTTAGTAGATTAATGTATAAAGAAAGGTTGATACAAATGGCGAATATTTTTCTATTGGAACCAGCAGAAAAATACAATTTCATTGAATTCTAGAACACATTATATTTTGGTACATAGCTTCTAGCTTTCTGATCGTCATATTCAAAGATTTGCGTGCATGAACATTTAATATTTGATTTGGTCTGGGTGTTTCTATGTATAATATGTATGTATTTACAAAAAAAGTATACACGTATTTGTATCAGGTGTCAAGGACCCACAGTACAAGCTCTGCTAGGGACTAGATGGCGTTATGTGAATGTGGTAGAAAATTATTGTTAATATACTGTCGCTTTTTGTCTAAAACCCTTTCAAGACAAAGGAAATTCCTTGGTGTCTATCTCTCAAATGAAAATGATGGCTTAATAGCGAAGAAAAATTAACTGTATCTCCTTTTTTTTTACTCAAACAGTACTTATGGCAAGAAGGGAAGTGTAGTGATAAATAAATTCGTAAAATATTACACTATTATTTATGTACGTTCAGGGTTTAGTAACATAAAGTGCTAAATTTTCATATTTGTGGGCTTTTTGTTACTACAACCTTGCGTGTGCTATATTCTACAAGCAAGACCTCAAGATAGAGAAGAGAATATTTCTTGTTTGATGTCAATATCTTTAATTGATATCTATTGTATCTTTGTCAATATTAGATTGTTGGAGTTGAAGATTTGAATGAAAAATGTTGGTATTTTTTTATATTTTGTATACAATTTTGTCATTTTGACGACACTTTGATTATCCCTTTACTGTAGAAGTCTGCTGGATGGGTGGCGATGAAGTCATCGAAAGCGTTTAGTGCGGCGTCTCGGGTATTGAATTTATACCACTTAAAAAATAGTTTAATTTTTTTTTCAAGTAGTAATCAGTTGGGTCAAGATCCGGTGAGTACGGTGGGTGACGGAGAGCTTCCAGCTGAAACTCTTGCTTCCAGCTGAAGCTTTGCGGTAGTCTGCCGTAAATCGTGAGCTCGCACGTTGTCGTGGAGAAGCAAAATTTAATTGATGAGTTTCAGTTAGTAAGTTTAAAAAATATTGTCTGATACCGTGTCTTACGTAAACTCTAAAGTCATAAATCAACACACACCATAGCAACAATTTCTGTTTGTGCAATGTTTATCAAAATAAATACAAAAGTATCGTGGGAGAGCCATGCTTCGGCACGAATGGGCCAGCTCGACCGGAGTGATATCACGGCCTCACAGAAAACAGGTGTCAAGCAATTCTTTCGTTGCCTTTCACTGAGTGAGTGAGATTACCGGACCCCAAATCCCCCTCCCGCTGACTTGAGCGGGAGGGACTCGTTTGTACGTTCAGGGTTTAGTAACATAAAGTGCAAAATTTTCATATTTGTGGGCTTTTTGTTACTACAACCTTGCGTGTGCTATATTCTACAAGCAAGTCCTCAAGGTGCAGATAGAATATTTCTGTTTGATGTCATTGTCTTCAATTGATATCTATTTTATCTGTTTAAATATTAGGTCTTTACCTAGTAAGTTGGAGATTAGTGTTAAAATTTTAAAACATAAAAATTTTGTTTTTTTTTAGCTAATAAAAGTACTGACCTAAATTATCTCTAAATTTTTTCCATTTTGACGACAGTTTGTTTATCCCTTTACTGTAGAAGTCTGCTAGACAAGGTCAGAATAGTCGATGGGTGACGGAGAGCTTCCAGCGGTCACTCTTGTAACTTTAGTCTGTCGTGAAGTGTGAGCTCGGGCATTGTCGTGGAAAAGCAAATTCTAACTCAAACTTAAAATATATTCCATCACCATCAACATCTTTTAATAGTCTACTGCTGGATATAAGCCTCTCCTTAGAAAGGAGGTTTTGGTCTTCTATATTTATTAAATATATTTATTTCATCAAAAAAAATATGTTTGATATCGTCTCTTATGTTGACTCTAAAGTCATAGATCAACACACACAGTAGCAGCAATCTCTGTTTTATGCAATATTAATAAAAGAGAGGAAGCGTAGTAAAAAATAAACTCCGTAAAATAGTACACAATTATTTTTAGCTTAATTTATCTTACTCCATAAATAGCTTACGAAAGGTTAATGTATGTGTAAAACAAAAGGCTTACGAAAACAAATGACTGTGAAAAATTAATGACTGACAAAAAATTAATGGAAGCTAGTAATGGAAATACCGCGTAGATGCTTTAGAGTCTATTTCACAAACACAATGCATAAACGTTGTTGCGTGTAAGTAATGTAAATCATGGCTACAAGTTATCTACCGGTGAGCTTGTAGTTCTAACTGACACGCAAAGCAGGGTAAACATGTCCAAGTTGTAGAATTGTAAAGTCTTGTAACTTCTAGTTTCTCTAAGGATGGTTTGTTTCGTCATTTATCTATAACTGCTAAACTATTCTAGTTTATTATTATACGATATATATTTCGTGTACCTCAGAGTTATTGACTTACAAAGATATTGTTAAAGGAAGATCTGTAAACCCTTAAAAGAAGCGAAATATTTGCTTAAACACCACTACTTTTCCATCTTAAAATAAAAATAACCAATATGTAAGTACGTACTACATAAAATTATACAATATAATCTGTATGCATGCATAACAAACTTTACAAAGTCCATCGCACTGTGAAGTAATGTAATCTCGCAAATCTATTTTAATCCTTTCGTTGATCGGATTAAAGTAAAGATCTACGGCGCAACTTACCCTTATTTAGAGGTAAGACGAACTTGCAGGGCTTTTAGTTATTGTGGAATAGTTTTAAAACAACTCAACTTTAGTCTGTGACCTCGGTATGTTTTACACTTCTAAGGTATATACATTCAACATATACATATAACTAACAAACAAACTAAGCTGGCAAAACTAGGCAGGTTTCCGACAAACATACTTATTTTATTATATTACAGTACATATTACAGTATATATATTACAGTACATTACATTACATTATATTATATCCTTTACAATACTATTAAAAATTGAAAAATAATAATTGCAGAATCAAATAATATGT